CTTGTGTACACACACACACACCAACCCCCCTCACCCCCACCCCCCTTTCTCCATCTTCTCAGGATTCTTACCTCTCCTTTGATTCCAAGGCACACTGCTTTCAGCGCCTCCCATGCCATGTCTCTGCGTCCCAAGCCTTTCGCCAAACTAGGCCCAGGTGGGCTTAATTCAGTCAATGGAGGCAACCAGTACCTCTCACCAGGCCTCTCCAGCGGAGATTTAAATGCCTGGGCTGCGAGACTTCCGGCCTTCGGCCCCTCTGCACTTCTCCCCTGAACCCTGCTCTGGCACCTGCTCGGCCGTGCTGTCGGCTCTCTGGCCTCAGGTCACTACATGTGGGCACGCAGCCCCACGAGGTTGCCCATGTTCAGTGGTGAGCCCCACCAGGGTCTGCGTGCGCACTTTGGCACGCTTCCCTGAAATAGTGCGTACCCTTTTGAGACTGTAAAACCTGAAACTTCTCCTGTCCTTTATCAAAACCCACTTGGATCACAAACCAGGCTTCGGCGTGAATTCTTTGTTGTGTGAAGCCAAGAACCGAGGTGTTGCCCAGCCGAGAAACCTCACACTTACAGACTCATGACCCCGGAGCATCAGCTTCCCTCTCCAAGCCTCAGAAACATAAAAAGAGCTAGGGCACGTGATGAGCCAAAGAGCAGAGTCCTTTGGAAACCACGTGTGACGGTGACACAGAACCTGAGATTTCTAGGCCTCAGGTGGCACCACAACACAGGCCTCCCGCAGCACCGCCGGGCAGTGAGTGTGAGCAGGGCTGTGGGCAGGACAGGAGCCATTTTTATTTGAACCGGTCATGCTAAGTAGAATCAGTTTTGTTTGACGTTGATCCCGGTAGGTTTTGATGGTTTCCCAGGATTCAAACAAGAGTTTGAGATGTTAATGACGATTTGAAACTTGCTTGGAGTCTAATTGCCCTCCCCCAAGGTTTCTTATTTGTTGTCTAAGATTGATTGCTAAGGGGGGGGGGTCCATTGAAAAGTAGATGCCAAGAGAATGAATTGTCGACTTCTTCTATGTATTCAGTATGTTTTGATATTTACCATGTTGTGTGGCTTTGTGCAGTGTGTTAGTCCGGGTAAACTAGAGAAACAAATCCATAGAAACGTTCTTATAAGAGAAAGTTGAATATAAAGGGTAATTTTACATTAAGAAAGCATCCCAACCCAGTCCAGTCCAAGCCAAGTCTGATATGAGCCCATATGTCTGATACCGATCTATAAAGTCCTCTTCAGACTCACGAAACACATGCAATGATGCCGAATGCAGGACGATCACAGGCAATGGGTGGGAAGTCTTTGGAACCAGTGGCGTTGTAAACATCTCAGTGCTGGCAGGGCTCTCCACGTGGCTTCTCCTCAGGGACGTCTTGCAGGAAAGTCAGCAGAGAGAAAGTGTTTCCCGCCACCAAGGAGTAAATCTCGCAGTGCCCAGAATTCTCAGGAGAATGCCAGGCCCACACAGATTCTCATTGGCTGTCTCTGGGTTGACAGGCTAGACTCCCACCCCTACACTCTTAGTCCTCAAATTGACATCAAATTGCGTAACTGCCACATGAGGCCTGTCAAGTATATTCTGATGCCCACCTGCACGTAATACACAAATCATGGTGTCAGGAAAAAAACTCGTATAAGCATCACTGGGAAATTGGGGTAATTCAAGCACCTACCAAGCATGGCTTTTCTCTTTCCACTCTGTTGCAACGGTATCAGTTGGGCTCATTGCTCCCGGACAAGGACCCTACAGGGTCGCTTTGAGTTAGAATGCACTCAACGGCCGTGCGTCTGGTGATGAGATCTTATCCTTACTTCTGACCTTCTGGCTCTCACTCTGCCCCCAGCTTCATCACCCATGAGGATTCACAGAGCTCCTGGAGCAAGAAGGGTACCAAGGAAGAGACACCTGGGGGAGACCTGGCATCAGCTCAGCCCAACGGTGGTGAATCTGAGCACACGATCACACCACACTCAGTAACTCTTGTAGGGGCAGTGCGACTCCTGCCCCGTGCACCCATGTGCATGCCAGGGTTCCCACTTGCCATGGGGCTCGAGGCAATCTGAGCCTGTCTCCAGGCGTCTCTGGTGGAACCGAGCTGTCATGGCAGCCTGACAGCACAGAGGGAGTGACTCTCATTCGAAACAGGACGGCAGTTCTCCCCCAAACGGTGGCCGCCCATCCTGACAAGGGGCAGGCGTTTCTACCCAAAACCTCAAAAAGGCCTCCATCTTTCTGATCATCACTTCCGTCAACCATCGTCATGCAACTGCCATGACCACACCCACAAAGCCCAGCCTCGGGCGGCAGGGGACCAAGCTCTCCACAGACACAGCGAGGGGTGGTGCCTGACCTCCCGGCACTCCAGGGCCAGGAGAGAGCTTCAAGAGCATCAGTACCCATTCCTAGGAGAGCCAGGCCACACGTGCCTCCGCCCAGCCATCTTCTCACTGTTTCTGACACGGACCTCCCGCTGCACTGCATTTCTCTGCTGGGCTGGATTACTCATGGCTGTGGCCGCACAGAACTGGGACGTCGTTTGCAATCAGAGTTTATTAGAGAAGTGAAAAGGTACAATTCAGGATCAGAAACAACTGAGGATACAGTGCTTTGGTATACAGGATAGCATCTTTGAGCCTGCCCCCAGGCATGACTCTCTCGCCCCGCCCCTCCCCCCCGCGTGCACAGTGACAAAAAGCTCACACAGCTCCGCCCCAAAACCACAGGCACACCCCTCTGGCGGCCAGTCTCCTGCCCCAAGGCACCCTGATGTGTCGCTCTGTGGGCAGGAAGCCCACTGTTGTCCTGTGCTCTTGCTTCTGCTGCCTCCACTTGTCAGCACCTCTGATGTGGCAGCCGTCGCCCACACAGACGAGCTCCCCAGCACGGGGACCCTGGGTTCCAAGGACAAGCTCTGCTCCCAGCTCTGGGTGATTCTGAAATGCCCTTGTCCACCTCTAGGAGGGCTTGTTTTTAGTCTAGTGGGAAACTTTTTCTGCCGAAGGCATCGTTTGAGGTCCATCTTGGCCAAACATTCACCCTGAATTTTGAATGGCTAAGTGCAGGGTCAGCAGTTCAAAGCCATCAGCTGCTCTGAGGGAGAACGTTGAGCCTTTCTACTCCTATAGTCAGCCCTGAAACTCGCACAGGCAGTTCTTCCTGGTCTTACAGGGTGGCTATGAACCAGCACACTATATGGCAAAGAGCTGTTTTAGCAAATGTGATGGCGAGTCGGGTGAGGTTGGCTGGTATTGATTTGGAGGGCCTTAACTGGCCCATCAGCTGGACATTCCTCACCCCTGGTAGCAGGATGTCAGAACTGACCAATCCCCCTTAGGGTGCCATATACCATATATACTCGAGTATAAGCCAACCAGAATACCAACCAAGGCACCTAATTTTACCATAAAACTGCAGTAAATGTGCTGAAAACAATCGGCTTAGACACGAGTACCTATGGTACTTTGTTTGCCTGGGTCCACCCCCCACCCGGGGTATCAGCAGGCTCTCCTCGCCGTGGTGAGTCACAAACAGTCCTATGTGCCTGGTCCCCCCAGTCCTTTGGTGGGCATTCCGAGGACTGGCTGGAAGGGCCTGTTCCTTCACTGCACCACAGCGGCCATTTTCTCTTCCCTCCCTCATCAGACTTCCCTTATCATTGGTCAATGATACAAGTCCTTTTATTAAAGAGACACAAAACACGGCCCCTTGGAAACCAGCAGCCAGGGACAAAGGACACGGCTGACTGTGAGCTGACCAGGGTCATTCATAGTAAAACTTTATTGAACAGAAACTCGGCAGAGGCTTCCACCTCTGCCAAGCGCCCCTCGGTTTGAAAGTAAAGCGCGGCGTTTTAAAAAGCAATTATACATAAGTCTCTACTAGAAAAGTCCTGCTAAAACATGTCTAGCAATTTCATTTGATTATATAAAGTAGTACACTTAGTGTAATTTAAACATTCCAACAGGAATCAAATCGTACCTGCAGAACCATTTCTGCATCTATGACATCTATGTACAAACACACATGCAGACACACATCTCTGGAAAAGGTCCTCAGGCATCAACATGCAATGCTAATGGCTTCTACGTACAGTGCCTATGAAACTACCTACAGTATATATTAAAGCTCTTCAGAAGAAAGACATGAGTAGCCTTGTGCATATTTGGTTCATCAATTTGTATCATGGCTTCACGTCTCACTGCTTTTGCTCCATCACAAAAGCCTATCGTCCTCCTCTTTGGGTCTTCCGACAAGGTCACCATGGCCGTGTGCAGGTGGAGATCCAGCTGGAGTCAGAAGATCCAGCCCCTCCGGCCGGAGCCGCCCGCAGCCGTAGGAGCAGACGGCATTCAGTTTGCTAGGGCTGGGGGCCCTTCCGGCAGAAGGGAGGCAAAGAAGGTCTTAAAGACGAGCCACGCCGTGCTCATGAAGGAGGGGCCGGTCTGCTCTTCACCTAGGCCGTCTCTGTCTGGAGGGAAGGGGCTGGGCTCCTCAGCTTCAGGGTCAGAGCCCTCGTCCTACAGTCAGTCAATGAGAAGACAGTTAGGGCCCTGGGGCACGAGTCGTGTGCTACAGCGCAAAGTAGAGCAGCCAGGCAGGTGGGCCCTGGGGTGGGGAGCTCTTCCCCTGGCCTCCCTCCCCGTGTCACTGTGCTGGAGACGTCTCCTCGCTTTTGAATACTCTCAGTGGCAAGTAACAAAGCAAGCCAAGTAACTCAGCTAACAGCTGTGCTACTCAGTTATGTCCACGAAAATACCGAGACAGTCCAACTGAAGCATTAACCATTTAGTCTGATCATGTAGCACACCGCAAGGCCGGCAATCTGTCCGTTTGGGGTGTGAGAGCCCGGCGTTTCCTGCCAAGGCTGGCCCAGGGCAGTGTGGGAGGCTCTGTACCTGCAGATTGTTGTTGGGGTCCTGATTCACAGCATCATAGGGAGGACCATCATTCTGGAAGTTCTGAAACGGCCTGGGTCTAAATGGAAACCACCCAACGTGATGCCTTCGGAGGAAGCACAGAGAGAGTCTGCTTCAGCCGCCGCCGTCACGGGAGAGTCACACAGGGCTTAAGGGTCCGTCTCAGTTCAGTAAGCCCCCCGCCCCCTTCCTTCCTGTAGCCACAACAGCAGCCTGATGAGATGCTCCCAGGGACATTCAATCACAATGCCCCCAGTCTTCTCCCAGGCCGCACGCACCTGGAAGGCAGGGCCCGGGCTTTGTGTGCCCAGCAGCATGAGATACCTAGCACAGAGCAGATGCTCAAGAAATACCTATCCGACCAGAACCTCCTGCTCGAAAAGCTCAACAGGAGGAGGAAGCCCGCGTGTGTATACACACACACACACACACACACACACACACACACACAATTGTGACTGTATTTTAACACACGGCAGGGCTTCAAAAATGTTGTGGAGAAATGGAATTGAAAGTTAAAGGGATTTTTTTCCCCCCACAAACTTTTGAAGCTCCCCAAAGCTTGTCATCTAACTATATGGCTCTGGAGATTATGAACTCAGCAGGCCAAGGCTTCACTTGGGAAATGCAATCGCATTCGACTCTTGAAGAACTCTGACAAGACACGGACACTTTTCACTTCTCACTGTGCATGCTGCTAATGTGAGGGCTCACAGCCAACGAGTCAGTGCCGACTCGGGGCCACCTACAGGGCAGAGCGGAACTGGCTGATCATTTCCAAATTTATCTTTTTGAGGTTATAAAAAACTAAAATAAAACCCCTGGTTACTATAAAGGAAAAAACCCTCTTCTTTCAGCTTCAACTATCAGCAAGCACCCAGCACCCTGGGTGGCTCCATTTCGGCAGGGTTGGCATTCAAGGCCGGGCACTCACTGCGGAGGCTTGTCCTGGGCACTGTCGGAGGGTTAGCGGCATCTTCAGCCTCTGGCCACAAGCCGCCTGCAGCACCCCTCCCGTAACAACAAGGACACATGTCTTCACAAAGTGTCAAGTATTCTGGGGGGAGCCACAGTGCTGGGTCCCAGATAAGCCAAGCACCAAGTCTAGGGGCTCCCTGGCTGTGAGGGCTGCTGGTGGGCCAGGGCCTGATAAAGACAAACCCATTCTTTTTCAAACCAAGTACAATTCCCTTTCCGTGGTTCACTGTGGCTGCATTACAGCCTGTGAGCCTGGACGGGACCTTACCCGGGGGATAAGGGAGTGCTCTTCCTGTACAGAGTACAAACACACGGTCAAGTGTGCTGGAAGAGACGCCAAGCCATGCGTCCTTACTCTGGAGTAAGTGCCAGAGTGACCGGCTCTCAGCTAAGGGCCAGGCTGCTTGGAAGGAGTGCCTGTGCCCATGGGCTGGGCGCGTGCGTGGGCAGGCAGGCACGCGGAAGCAGCTGCTTACAGGTACATGACGAAGGTGGCCCCCAGGACCATGAGGAATCTGCTCAGCGAGGAGTAGAAGTAGAGGATGCTGAGGAACACCGAGAAGGTCGCTGCCGAGTAGGTCCAGTCCAGCCAATCCCGGTTTATCTCGTCGTCTTCTTCCACAATTGGGCCACCTTGGGCATTCATGCGCAGATTCTGATTGGCTCCCGGATTGGCCACCACTGGAGGAGCAGCATTCTGATTGGCAGGCTGGTTTTCAGCTGGAAACTGGTTGGGAATTGGGGCCGGGGCGGGAGCTGGAGCAGGGACCACAGGTATCTCTTGGGCACTTGGTGCTGGGACAAACGCCCCCGATGCAGCAGTGGCCGCCAAACTATGATGAAAGCGCCAGAGTTGGAAACGGTCAGCAGTGGGAGCCTTCCTCGGGCAGTTGTTCTGTATTCTAGTGGACAGCCAACCTCTTCCCGCCATCCCTCCCAACCAGGACTGCCGCGAGAGGCCACTGGACAAGTGTCCTCTGGGCAGTCACTGTGAAAGTACGGTGTGGGAGCAAGTTAAAATCGCATTCCCCCCACCCCCACCCACCCCAGAAACCCTTACAAACTGACAAACTGACTCTGTCAGACACAAACCTATTCACAAATGGGGGCAGGTACCCTTTACACTCTCCTGGACCCCTCAACCTGATGACACCCCCGCCTCCCCTAATCTCCACTCTACGGGGGACCTGCCAGGGGCCCCCCCGGAGGACTCACTATTGCATGTAGTACTGCCGGGCATAGATCTGCTGGAACCAGGAGAGCTGCAGCCACCCGTACGTGGTGTAGCCCGAGAACCCAGGCCCCAGGCCTTGGAACGTCTGCTGGGCAGCATCGGGCCTGTGCAAAGATAAAACAAAGGAAAACCAAGTGTAAATCACAAGCAGGGACTCTAGTCAGAGAAAACTTCCCTGGGCTCTCAGGGGCCCCTCTGGGAAGCGTGAGCTCTGAGAGCTTCCCAGTGACAGGCAGCCACAGCGCTGGCTACTGAAGCCCTCCCATTGCGGGCCGAGCCCCGTGTAAACAAGAGCACCCAGCCCAGCCCTGGGAACACTGCTGTTTTTGTACCCACATGAAATTAGCTGGGCAGATCTCCGCCTCAATGTTTTCTTTGCCCAGTGTCACTGCAGGCGCAGAGCCACTGACCCGCCCTTCAGAAGGGAGTTCAAAAGCCCTTCCCGCACAGCCTCTCCCTAAGGGACTCTTCCCTCCCGGGGCCCTGGGTCTGAATCACGTGGCAGCACCTGCATGTGAGTGATGACCACGTGTGACCTGCCTGTACAGGGTGCTTGGCCAGGGACTTTAAAATCGATCTCAATGTCCCCAAATAACTGTGGGGAAGAGGATCTTACCCCATTACATTTGGGGGGGAGGGCCTTAGTGACGAAGAGAGATTAGAGCAAGGCCACCCAGACCTGGCTTGTTTGGTCCAAGCTCACCAGTCTGTCTGGCAGCACCACCTCATGTTGCGTGGGCAGGGCGGGGCAGGGGTGGAGGGGGCCTCCTGCTTAGTGCTCTGCAGGCTGCACTTCACAACGTTGAAATCGGGAGAATTGTGGGAAACCAGGGGGTTGGACATGTGGCCATCTGTGCAGGTCTTGAGGGAAAGCTACTTATGCTGGCTGTTCAGTAAATATTTGCTCACTAAAGTCACCTGGTTTGAACCTGGTGAATTTCACACAGTCAGATGTGCAGGATGAATCATGGAAGCAGGGCTACATTTTGCATCCAATAATGTACCCAATTATCCAATTTTTCTGCTGACAATTTTTTAACCAAATCCCAAACCCAGAATATTTCTAAAATAATCTCCTAATATCAATGGCTCATGGTCTACTAGGAGGGGGTACCCCCACAAAAACACAGAATTTCCCCCCCAAAAGCTATGCATTATTTTTTTTACAAAGCAACTTTTATCACCTTCAAAGTACTCTGTTATACCTAATACATTTTTCAAAGCTGCGATTCCATTCTTGTAAATATTTTTCAAACTCATCAATTTGGATGGCTGACAGCACCTTCCTCGATTTTTTCTTCACCTCTTCTACATCATCAAATCGCTGCCTTTCATGTCCCTCTGCATTTGTGGAAACGAAGTCACATGGACCGAGGTCAGGTGAGTAAGGTGCATGGGGGCAAGAGCAGGTGCATTGTCGTGGTGGCAAAACCAGTTCCCCGTCTGCCACAAATCAGGCCTTTTTGTCGTACACTGCTACACAATCTTTTCAGAGATTCTAAATAGAAAGCTAGATTAACAGTCTGACCTGGTGGAACGAACTCCAAATGCACTATCTCCCTCACATTCAAAAAACAAACCTGCGTCGTCTTGATCTTTGATTTCACTTGACAAGCTTCTTTTGGGCAAGTTGATGGTGTTTGCTTTCAGGGTCATAAGACGAGCACCGTGTCTCGTCACCAGTAATGGCCTTGGGGAAAAAGCCTGGGTCGCTTCAGAGCTGTTCTTTCAGAGCACAGCATGCTTGCACTCAGCGCGCGTTTTCCTGGTCAGTCAGAACCCAAGGCACAAATTTTCCAGTGCCCCTTCTCATTCCCAAATCTTCTGCTAAAATTCGCTGAACCAAGTTCCAAGATAGTCCAGATAACTTCCCCATCTCTTCAATGGTCCATCGTTGGTCTTTGAGCACAAACTCGCGAATTTTGTCGACTTTTTTTTCCGTTCTGGAAGTTGACGATCATCCAGAATGAGGTTTGTCACCAATCGACATTTCACCCTTTTTAAAACAAGAAAACCCCTCGTACATTTGAGTTCTTCCCATAGCACTGTCCTTGTAAGCTGTGGTTAGCATCACAATAGTTTCTGTGGCATTTTTCCTGAGCAGGAAACAAAATTTCACAGCCGTGTGCTTTTCTCTTAAATCAGCCCTCACACACACACACAAAGGTTCAAGCGAAACAGCTTTTATGGAAAAATCCACTGTGACCAGAGAGAACCTTTCCAGGCAACGCCACTGAGTGTACTAACCCAGAGCGAGCTGCTCGGTGCTCACCTAGCAGGAGAAATGCGTGCTACGAAAGCTCTGCCCAGCGGAGCGTTTTTGCATTTTGGGGGGATATCTCCTGGTATTTTTTATTAGTTTTTTAAAGTTACAGTGCATGGAAACAGGATTATTTTGTTAGATCTGGTGACGAGTTTTGTGGCTGTGCAAAATAAATGAAGGGTCATACAGTTAGAGATTGCACTCTTGAGGAGTGAAATAGCAGGATGGCTGGGAATGACTTTAATTCCCTTTTTTTAAAGAGAAGGGGGTAATAGGTGAAGCAAGGGTGGCAGAGTCTTGACCATCTAGTAGGCCTGGGCATGACGATGTTATATGGTGCCCTTTCCTTCTGTGCAGATCACAGATTCCTATTAAGAAAATGAAAACTACTCATTCCTCAAACATCTGGCTTTATCTACTGATTTGTTATGCTAATAGAAAACTACTAGGGGCAGGGGGGTGTGAGTTTCAGGATTTCAGCTCAGTAAACACATGGCTTCCTCCCTAGGAGCTTTCAAAACCATGTTCCAAGGACTATCAAACCCACCGCAAACCATGGAGTCAATGCTGACTCAGAGCGACACCCTGTGGGTTTCAGAGACAGTTTACGGGAGCAGAGAGCCCAGTCTCTCCCATTATGAACTGCCGAGCATGCAGTCCACAGCCCCGTTCTGGGCCCCTGCACCACCAGCACTCAGGTCAGGGCAGTGAGTCACTTCTGGATTTTGCTCCAGATAATGACCTTCTTTCCAGTGCCACCAGCACAGCGCTCGGCAGAGCACTCTGGAACCGTCTCTTCACCTTTTGTCTCCCACTGGTGCAACACAGAGCACCCACACACTCAGCAAAGGGGGGAGGGCGGGGGTGGCGCAGGGGGATGCTGACACTGGCTGGTTTTCCTGCAGCGATGCCCATTTCCTTCCCCAGGGCACCCCTGGGTCCACAGGGCGCACAATGCAAACACTCCCGCAGGAGGGCTACAGGCCTACAATTGTAGCAGGGGAACTTGGCACTTTCCCCATGTTTCAAAAAGGTTGGGTATGAAGAAAAGTTAAAAGCAAGAGGGGAGCCCTTCATCAAGCCAAACGTGTACGTTTTGTGGGTCAGACTGCCGATGTGGAGATACACGAGATTCTGAAGTGGATGCAACGTCCCACGTTTCTACTGTACACGCTGGCTCTCTGTAAGAACACTCACGTAGGGACAATCTCCCAGCCCGAGGGGGGCAGGTTCCGCTGAACCTCCCTTTGCCTTACGCCGTCACTCGAGGCGGCCCCGGAATACTGTCCCTGATGAAGGCCAGAGGGCTGCTCCGGGGGCTCAGCAACCTAGGGGAGAACCCAGAGAACACCAAGGTCAGGGCAAGGCTCCAAGGCAACCGTGAAATCGAGCTCAAAGGATGTGGGTGAACGACATTCATCCCCCTGCCCCAAAGCTATGTGGAAAAAGCCTAAAGTTTGTTCAACCCAATTTTCAATCTATAGATACTTATTAGAGAGAGGGAGATCCCCAATCTTTCTCTACAGTAACTCTGCTAGTTTCAATGAAGTTATCATTGGGAGAAGACATCTTATAATGCTCTATCCGTATTACAGACGCTAAATTTACTAATCCAACTCATCTGGTAACTTGCAGGAAATGGTGTGCTATATCCAGATGTGTGAGAAAAGATAACTCTGATGCACAGTCCGAGTTTCTCAGCAGGCTCAAATAGCAATACTATAGAGCAGTGGTTCTCAACCTTCCTTAAGCCGCGACTCTTTCATACAGTTCCTCATGTGGTGGTGACCGCCCCCAACTATAACATTATTTTCGTTGCTACTTCATCACTGTCATTTTGCTGCTGTGATGAATCGGGCGACCCCTGTGAAAAGGTCGTTGAGAACCACTGCTCTAGATTATGAAGTAAGCGCTGGGAGCACCACGTCAGGATCTGGACTGCTGTGCCTGGCTGGTCAGTCAAGTCATATCCCAGAAGACAGCTCGGTTGTCAGTCCACTCTCCCACTTCCACAGGACGAAGAGTTTGTTTTTACTAGAACACGTTGTTGAGTTCCTGCTACTCCCCAGCGAAGGGGAAAGTACCCTGGTAAAACCACAACCACTTTCAGCGATTCCTAGAGCGCGTGGGACAAGGCGGCCGAGTCGCCAAGCGCAGGCCTACCTTGGTGCTGGTTTCGGGCGTCTTTGAAGGTGTCTTCACGTTGCACACAAGGTGTAAAACGTGCCGTTTCTCCTGCTGGAAAAGTATTCACCAAGGACTTTAGGGCCTGGCTTCAGTCTGGCTGAAGTGCCCCAAATATCCAGAAGTGAATGTGGAGGGGATGTACCTTTGGGAGTAACTCCCTGAGGCTCAGGTGGTCCGACAACAGCTTCCCAGAATAAATCAGCCTCTGGTCCTCAGGACGCTGAGCAGGAGGGGCAAGAAAAGAGTGGTCCAGGTCAGCAGGTAGCCCCGACAAATACCCAAACACAGAAAAGGGTTGCTTTATACAAATAATTTGGATATGTTGCCCCTATCCCCGTCAGATTAACACTGGTTCAAAACTTTTTACAAAGTGCCTAACTTTAAACTGAGTAGTGGCACAGGACTGCATTCACGACAGCAAACACTCTCCGTCCACACCTACGGCAACCTCCCACCTCCGTATGTTCCAGGAATCTTATCTGGGGGTCCTACAGCCCCCAGTCTGCACAAAACCACCCAGACGGCCTCAAAAGAATGCGAAGTGTTTCTCAAAGTATATCTTCGGAGGCCTTTCTCCACGCAGAGCTCAGTTAGAGTGGAGATGCTGAGGGCTGCCATGTCCACACTCTGGAATGGGAGCAACTGCAATGGGGACACCCGAGAAACGGACTTGTCCAAGGACACCTGTCACAGGAGTCACCATTCCCAGCACTCGAGCCCTCCAGCCAGGGATCTTAAAGTCAAGCTCTTTCCAGAAACAGGAGTGGGAATAGCGAGACCAGAAGGGTAGGGGAGATGGGGAAAAAAAGGAAGGGGGAACGGTCAACACATAACCACCCCATCCCACCCTCCAAGGGGACGAACAACGGACACCATGGGGGAAGGGAGACAGCGGTCAGTGTAAGATATGAAAATAATAATTTATAACTTATCAAGGAGTCATGGGTGGGGGGGAGCTGATCCCAAGGGCTCAATAGAAAGTAAACGTCTAGAAAAGAATGATGGCAACAAATGTACAAAAGTGCTTAATGCAGTTGATGCATGGGTTGTCATGATTTGTAAGAGCCCCAGTGAAATGATTTTTTAATAAAATTTCTTTTTAATCAAGCTGTTTCACTTTCAAAATCGTTTTAGTGAATTTTCGCTTATGAGGGTGTATTTCTAAAATAACGGCTCCAATGGTCTCTACCCAGAGTACACTGGAATTCCCCAATCTGTCAACCACTCTTGTGAAAAAAACTGATGATGCAAAATGGGCAGTCCAGCTGCTGCCGTGTGAGCCTGGTAACCACAGGGTCAGCCGTTTGACCGCCGGCTGCTCCACGGGAGAGGCTTTCTCATCCCATAGGATGCTGTCTCAGAGACTCACACAGGTCGTTCTCTGCTCCTACAGCGTCACTACCAGTTGGAATCAACTCAGGGGCAGTGAACCTTTTATGGGAGAATGGAGGGAAGTGGTAACTAGTCTGAGGGTATAAAGCAAGATGTTTAAAGCCAACCAAAACCGTTGTTCATTTTTTTCTTGTGCATTTTTCTGTATATGAAATCCAGGATAGGAAAATCTATAGCGCCAGTACCTGGTTTAATAGTTGCGTGGAGGCATAGCAGGGGAGAGGCTGGGGGAAGTGGGGAGTGTATAACAATGAGTACAAGAAAAAAGAAAATGTTCTACACTTGATTGTGGTGACAATTGTACAACTCTCTTAATATGACTGAACTATTGAATTGTATGCTATGTGAATTATAAGAAACTGAAAAATTGAACCAGCAAAAGAAAATATCTGTATAAATCAGGGTTTGGTGTTTTTAACACTGTGCGATGAAAATGTGTAAGCGCCCTATGCTCACACCTTCGGAGTTGGTCAACTCCAATACTAAGAAGAGGCTGAATTAAGAGGGCCGCCACCAGAACTGGTTTGGAAACCACAACACCTGTGCGTCTGCGCGGCTGTCCCCTGTAAAGCCCTGCCTCCCACTGCCTTTCCCCTGAAGACCGGATGCAAAAAAATAAAGACAACTTCAGCACAGAGCACCTGCAAAAAGCAAATGACGAGGGGCGTGCTCCGGACGCCATTTGGGGAGGCATGCCCCTAC